CTTGGCCCAGCCGGGACCCTCCCTCATCACTGGTGCTGCCAAACTGTCTGGTCAGGACAGAGATTCCCCCAGCCGACCACAGCTTGTCACGTCCTGCTCGTGTCCTCCAGGGTTCCACACGTCCCCTCTCCCACCAGTCCATCTCCCATCCTGTTCCTTGCACGCTGCCCTTGTGCAGCGCTGGGCCCAGGCCTTGGGGGCGGTTCCAGGGAAGGAGGGTGGAGGTGGCACTGGCCCATCTTGGTGCCACAGCTGCCCCCACTGTGTCCTGCTGTGCCTGGGTCCCTGTGACTCAGTGCCCCGGGTCAGGGGCGCTGAGGGTTGGGGGAGCACTGTGGAGGGTGTCACAGCGGGGGGCTGGCACCTACTGGAGTCACCCAGGCAGGGGAAGGGACTGCCTGCCTGCGTCCATGCTCACACCCATTAAAGGCTGCTCTCACCTTTGCTCAGCAGCTGGGAGAGATCTGGGGTTTTTCCCTCTGTGTGATCCTCTGGGGGTACTTGTGCTAACATCATTTCCAAGGGATATTCTTGAGGAGCTTCTGCTCATTTTGCCTTTATCTCTGAATTCTTTCTCCCTTTTTAAGGCCAGTTGATGACTGCTTTGCCCCTGCACTGCACTGCAAACCAGTGGCCACCTCTTGCCCCTTCAGGGAGCAGCTGTCCTGGCAGCTGCTCTGCCCATGACCAGCATCTGTGCTTTCTTCCTCTTTCCTGGAATTCAGCAGCCCCAGGGCCCTGCCAGGCCAGGGCTGGCTGGGTGCAGAAAAGGCTCCATTTCTTCTTGCACTTCAGACTGTTTTGTCCAGCACTTGCCTGGGAGAAAGGATCCTTGGATAGCTTGATCCCCTTCCACCTATTAAAGAGTCCTTTACAAAGGAAGTTGTGCCCTCTTTGGTCCTTGTATTAGGAGCAAGGCCCTCTCTAGGGTGGGGACAGCTGCCAAGGACAAGAAGCATCCATTGCTCCAACAGGCAGATCCACAGTCGCTTCGGAAGGGGTTCCTGAGTTGGCTGAGTCAATTCTGCCAAGCTGCCTTCTCCCCACTCTTTGCTCTCACAAGGCACCTGGGTTTTGCTGTCTGAAGAGCAGGATCTTCTGCTGTCCCTGGATCCCTTACCTGCAGAGCTCAAAGAAATCCAGCACTTAGCTGGTTTGTTTCTGTCCTTTTCAGAACACAGCACCTTTCCAACAGGGCCACAGGCAGTTTGGGAATGCTCATGTAACACTGCCCCTTGTGATGGAGGAGGGACCAAAGGGCTGCAGAGCCAGAAAAGCCAATATTCCTGGGGGTCCTGGCAGAGCCCAGCAGCTTCCGATAGGCCCCTGTGCCTCCTGGCAGTCCCCACACTGCTCTCCATGGTCCATCACCCTGGCACACCTGCTGTGGGAGCTGTTGGAGCAGGGGCTGGCCATGCAGTGCTGGAGGATGGCCACCTGCCCAGATGGCCATCTGCCCAGGGACCCAGTTCCAGGTCTGCTTCATTTCCCATTCCCAACAATGACATTCCAGTAATAAAACAACTTCCCCCCTTTCCCAGTGCCCAAAGACAGGGATGCAGAGGTGTGAGCAAGTGCAGCAGCAACGTGTCGTGGAGCTGCGCTGCCTTGGGAGCTACTGTCACATCTGGGTCAACCTGTTTGAGGCTTCCCATGGAAATGTAGCATTTTGACTCTGTTATTCAATATTTGGGGTCACGTTTGACCTGCCCTTGAAATGTCTGCTGCTTGCTCTTCCCACAGGACTTGCAACTTGTCCATGCCTTTGTTTTGTCATTGCTTGGGTTTGATCTAGGCAGCTTTCCTTCTCCTTTCTTTTTTTATGTCCTTGTATCTTTTCAAGCACTGCAATGTGGCCAGCTGTGGAGAGAGGGAGTGGGAAGGAACAGCTGTGTCCCTGGGTCCCAGAGTCACTCTCCGAGCCCCCCTTCATCTGCAGGAAGTGGTGTGCAGGTTGGTCTCTTCAGCTGATGGACAGTCTCTTTCTGGGCAACTGTGTGCTGGGGCAGAAGAGGAGGAGGCCTGGGACCTTCAGCCCAGGCTGTGAATGGTGCTGAGACTTTTCCAGGTGTGGTCTGGAATGAAAAGGCTCTCTCACACTGGACACAGCCCTTGAGCTTGCAAGGACCCATCTTAGGAAAGCATCCTGTTCTCATCTGCTGTATTGCCACATGTGAAGTCATTCCTCCTGCTGGGGAAGGGACTGAGCACCATTCCAGGGTGCTAGGAGAGGAGCTGCTGCCCAGGCATCAGATCTGAAACTACTGTGAAGGAGGGAGAGCCTTGTGTCTCACAGGGCTGCCTAGGAGAGCAGAGGTGGTGAGGAGCTCAGAAGATCCTGCTGAAGGGAAGAGGAGCCATGAGCCAAACCCTGGCGGCCCTCCAGGGCTGGGTACAACCAGCACCACTGGCTCTTGCTGTGCTGCTGGGTGCAGCCAAGCCGTGCTCTGCCTGGGCACCAGCCCCCCAGGCAGAGGTGCATCCCCACACTGTGCCAGCCACGGCACCACCTGCACTGGGCTCTCCTCACCTCCCTCTTAAAAACAGACATGACCTGGACTGGACTGCCAGGGTGCTGCTCCTTGTCTGGGGGGTCTGGCTGCAGAACTGGAGCCCAGGTCCCCACTGGGTGAGCTCTTTGCTGGGAGCACCAGTCCCACTGCAAGGGTGGGGGGAGCTGGCAGGCTGTGTCACAGCTGCTGGATTGAGCATCACCTCCTCAGCCTCTCAGGCTGATGTACCTGTTGGGGTACAAAGCTGCTGGATTTATCTGGGTGAGGGAGTTACAGGGTTTGTAGGTGGTCAAGGGCTATTTACTGTTAAAACTTATAACCTTCTGTGTCCTTTAAAACCAAACCCAAAGCATCGTGTACGTGTGGATGGGTGGTTGTGGGAGTACCATGATGCCATTCCCCTGCTGTTGATGTGTTGCTGTTTTAGGGTGGGGGTCTCTGGGGCTGTGGAGGCAGCAGACACCCATCCCAGGGTTTCATGTGATGTGTCCTCTGTGAGCAGTTGTCCCTGATCCCAGCAGGGAGGCCCTGGTCCCAGCAAGAAGGAAGGTTTGCTGCACCCCTAGCCTTGGTAGGTCCTCCAACCCCACAGAGCACTGAGTGGAAGTCCCCCCTCAGGGACTGTTAAGGACAGCTGTGACCAAGGCAGAAGCACCAAATTTTCTGTCCTTCCCCTGCTGCCTGACCAGATTCCTCACAGGGGCATTTACTGCCGTGTCACTAAGAAGGCAGAGAGGACAGTGGGCTGGGTCTGGCTCACAGGTTCTCTGGGGCCTTTCTGAGGGTTGTGGCTGCAGCCAGCTTTTCTAAGTCAATGAAGAATTCTTCAAGTTGAATGTTTTTCTGAGTGGAGGTCCCCAAGTCTCTGTTTCTGCCATTCCTGCCCCTGAAGCTGGTGTTGAGAGGGCTTAGCTGGAGCCATGGGAGAAGTCCCACTACGTGCTCCAGCCTCAGCTATGGGGTGTCTCCTGGGGTGGCTGGTCTGTGGCTGACTCTGGGTGCGTGAGAGCAGTTGGAGCCTCTTGGGAAACTGTTTCCTCCTCCCAGTGGAAATAGGCAGCACTGGGACAGTGTGAGCCAAGGTCTCCGTTTCCATGAGAGCAGCCAGCCTGGAGCTCTCTCACACAAAGAGAGCCTGCCCCACCAGAGCGCAGCTGCCTGCCCTTGCCTTCCTCTGCTGCTCTCCATGGCGATCACAAGCACTGTCCGAAGAGAAAAGCACCCTCCAATGGTCTGGGAGGGCTGGGGGCTTATGGCAGCTGCTGCCCACAGGGACACACCTGGGCCCGTGGGTGCGATGAGGTTGTTGGAAGAGGGAGCCAGGACAGGAGTGACTTTGCCGCTCAGGTTCCTCACTCCTCATCCTCCAGGAGAGCTCCTCGATGCAGAGAGGGAAAGACAGGGCTGCAGCTTGGCTCCCTTCTTCCAGCCTAGCCCTTCCTTCTGGGGCTTGAGGCTCACTTGTACTTGGAGGGAGAATGGGGACCATATTGTGGAGGGAGTGTGATTATGATAACAAAAGCTTTTTTGCACTTTCATTCATTTTGCACTCTTTCTTAATTTCTTTTTTTTGTGTGTGTGTTTTTGATAATCGGCGCCTCTTTCATTTTTTCATAATGAAAATCCTTCTGTTGTAGCCAGTGCAGCTATTCTGGAACTGTGTGTCCTGAATGTACAGAGATTTAAAGGCTCTATATATATAAATTTATATTGCTACAAAGGTAAATTTATATATATAGATGATGGTGTGATGTGTTTTGTCAGTGTTTTAAAATAATAAACGAATGTGAGCAACAGAGGCCTGTGAAGCAGGAGTGGTCACTGTGCTGTGGGAGTGGTCAGCGTGCTGGTCACTGCATGGGTGCGGTCGCTACATGGCCAGCATGGTCACTGTGCAGCAGGTGAGGTCAGTGGAGTGGTCAGTGTGCAGCAGGAGTGGGCACAACATGGCTGGAGCAGGTGCTGCGTGGCAGGAGTGGTCAGTGGAGTGGTCACTGTGCAGTAAGAGCAGTCAGTGCAGCGGTCAGTGCAGTGGTCAGTGCAGTGTGGCAGTCAGTGCAATGGTCAGTGCAGTGCAGCGGTCAATGCAGTGGTCAGTGCGGCAGTCAGTGCAGTGCAGTTGTCAGTGCAGTGCAGCGGTCAGTGCAGCGGTCAGTGCAGTGGTCAGTGCAGCGGTCAGTGCAGCGGTCAGTGCAGTGCGGCGGTCAGCACAGCGGTCAATGCAGCGGTCAGTGCAGCGGTCAGTGCAGCGGTCAGTGCAGTGCAGCGGTCAGTGCAGCGGTCAGTGCAGCGGTCACCGCGCCGCCCGGGGGTGCACAGCCCGCCCTCTGCGTGTTCCTGGGTGTTGCACCGCCCGCCCGCCCCGCGGGATCCCCGAGGCAGCCGGGACCGGGACCGGAACCGCGACTAGGACAGGAACCAGGACAGGGATGGCGGCAGGGACGGTTTATTCATCCCAGCGCGGGTCGCTGCAGGGCAATAAGCGGCGGAGCGGGCGGCTCCCGCAGCCCCCGCAGCAGCGGCTCCGCGCCGCCTCAGCCGCGATGAGCCCCAGCAGGAGCAGCAGCCCGGCCGCCAGCGCCAGGCGCACGGTGTTGCACAGCGTGTAATCTGCAGGGACGGAAGGGACCGTCACTGGGGAGGAACCCGCCGGGAGATCCCAGTCCTCCCATAGGGGCAACAGGGGATCCAAGGGGACGCTCAGGGCAAGGGGGTACCTCGGCGAAAGAAACACAAAGGGAAGTTCATAGGGAGCAAAGGGATCTCCGAGGAGGCCCCCAGCTGCACCTCCCACATCCCTGTCCCCTGGTACACCCCCTACTCACAGCCTCTCACCTGTGACCCCACCAAATGGCACCAAAGATGGAAAGGAGGGAAGAAACATGGAGCTGGCCCTCAGATGCCACTGCCAGTGAGATGGTGACACTGAGCTGTGACAAGACATATGACTGTCCCTGGGGCTGGGAGATGCAGGGAGAGGTGTCCTCTGCATCCCGTATACCCTCTTATCCCCACCTGTCAGCCCAGCAACCCTGGTCTCTAGGTCATCTATAGGTTCTCTGAGGAGCTGGCCAGGCTCAAACACAGGTGAAGGAAGCTGGAACCCCTTGCTTGGTCACCTCATACAGCTGCTTTCCTGCCCTAAATATTTTTTTCTAGCTCCCCCAGGGTGTGACAGATTGCTGGGAGGAAGAGTGGAGCAGGATGTGGCTGGGGGATGTCTCACCTCTCACCACAAAGTCCAGGGTGTTGCTGACAGCAGACCATTCTCTCGAAGCGTTGAAGGTGTAGCACTGGCAGCTGTAGCGGCCGCTGTCACCTTTCTGCACCAGGGAGAGGTTGTAGTCACCCCGTTCCCTGGGGAGCAGCTGGGCTCGGATCTGGCCCTCCAGGTACAGGAAACAGCCGGTGATGGGGTGTGTGGGGGTGCAGCGGAACATCACGTCAGCTCCCACAGTCACCTCGTGCCCAGGAAGGACAGAGAGGTCGGGTCTGGGCAGACGGAGTTCTGTGGGCACAGGAGAGGGCATGAGAAGGTGCAGAGGGCTTTGATGTGGTGCCAGCAGCACCAGGATCTCTGTGAAGCCACCAGCTGGCTCAGGCAGAGCCCACCTCTCCAAGCCAGGGAAGAAGAGAAAAACCCTGTCCATCGTGGAAATGGCCACGGGCATCCTGGTGTGCCCTGGGGTGTGTGACCGCACAGGAGGGAAAACAGCACATTCCTCACCTTCCACAAGGACTTCCAGTTCAGTACTTCGAGCCAGCACAGTGTCTCCCTCCAGGTAATGGCAGTTGTAGCTACCTCTGTCCTTGTAGGTGGCATTAGAGATGGAGAACTCAGCCCTGCTGCCACTCTGCTGCAGGGTGTGGAGCTGGCGGCTGCCCTTGTACAGCACAAAGGTCCCATAGGTGCACTGGCAAATGCAGCAGATGGTGGTGGAGCCTCCAGGTGGGATCACCCCAGGTGGCTTCAGGAAGATGGAGATTGTGGGGGCACCTGCACAGGGAGAGAGATGCTGCCAGCCAGACCAGGAGCCCCCAGCAGCTGCCCTGCCATGAGCCTGGGGCTGCCACCAGGCCCCATCTCCACACAAGGGTGAATTTTGTTCCATGGGGGTGTGGAGGGAGATGGGTGGGCCCAGAAATGTGTCCAAACTCCCCATCTACCTCCTCAAGATACTCACTCGGTGTAGCCTCACCCTGTGACACCAGCCAAGCGCCTGCAAGAGAAGCAGCTGTGTAACATCACGGTGGAGTGTCTGGACACCTCCTGTCGCCCTCTGGGAATCCCCACAGCCTCTGGCACTCACCCAAGGCCAGCACACGGGTCACAGGCAGCATCACGTCCCTCCTGGCTCCCTCTGTATTCGGCTCAAGCAGGGCTTCTTCAGAGGAAAGCGTTGGCCAGAGGCACCGAGCAGCTGCGTGGCTTCTTGTGGCCCCTGATACAAACTCGTTGTCACAAGCTGCCTTCTGTCCCACGGCTTGGGTTTCTGCAGCACGACTGCAGGGCTGGGATGGTTGAACTGGAACCACAATGCCCAGTCACATGCCCAGGGCTGGGCCCCTGTGACAACTTAGGTCTTAGGATCTGACAGACCTTGGGGGCAAGGCTATCCGGACTTTTTGTTTCTCTTTCTTAGATCAGGTCACTTGATGGTGAAATAGCTTCTTCTCGGCCTTATGAAATAGGGAGTTGTTTTGCAACCACAAACCCACAAGTTTGGTGTCTCAGCAGAATTAAATAGGAGGGAAGGAACTTGACTTCCTTTTTGGCCTTTTCCTGGGCTACAGAGTCTGTCTTTGCAGGAGGGGCAGCAACATCTCCTACCTGCAGGTCTGGGTGCAGCCCACAGGATTGATCCCACTCCTCATCCATCCAAAGCCCCGCAGTCCCACACTGGAGCAGCTGATGGTCCTTACTGCAGACAGCTGCTCCCTTCCACCCACACCTGGGCCCAGGTGCACCTCAGCTGCATCTCCTCTGGGTTGGCCAGAGACGTAGACAGAGCTCCCTTTGACAATAATGAAGAGCTAATGAAACAGAGAAAGTCGCTTGCACCTCTGGATGTGGGAGAAGGGAATGGATGAGTTCTGGCACTGGGGCTGTGTGGGACATGTACAGCTTGTCCAGGAGTCCTGCTCTGAAGGTGGCAGTGTTTGTAGCTCCCTGCCCTCCTGTGGGCTGCAGGCAGCACATCCTGTCTCCTCTGTCTGCAACCTCTGCCACAACTGGCCCCTCAGGAAAACAGGGAAGGCTCAGGGCTGGATGGGGGGTTATATGGGTGTAAACCAGGGGAAAAAGGCAAAGCTCTACTTCTTCCAGACCCTTTTCTACCCTTTTCTTTCTTCCCCCTTCAGCCCTTTTGGTCTCCCTTGGAGATTCCATGGGCAAGGAGAAGTTTTGCCAGCAGGGTGCCCTATGGCCTCTTCCTTTTCTGGGCACCTCCTCTGGCCCTCTCTCCTGTCTAACCACCCTTTGCTTCCCCCAGACCCAACTGATTCTTGGCATTGATGACTTAGTATTTTAGCTTTTATATTTTTCATATATTTGTAATCCTGCAATTCTTTAGTGTATAACTCTAAACTCCATATACAGTGCTAGAGGCTGCTGCTTTCCCATTTTGGGCAGACACAACAATTCCTCTCCAGGCCTGGGAATCAAGGACACCTCACTGCCTCAGGCCCTGAGAGATGGAAACAAAAGTGAGTTGGGGGGAGCAAACTGGGGGTAAATGACTTCATTACCTGAAGCTGTAATTGGAACATTAACCCCCAATATGCAAAAGGACCAAATTTATAAAAGGTGTAAAAGTATGAAGACCTGTGAACCGTTGTCCATTTTGGGTGTAGCCCCTGGGGGACTTTGTCTGCCTGAAATGTACCTGAAGGACCTTAAAAAAATATAACTGCTTATTATTCCCTTAATTTTGTCTGGTCTCTGTTTTTAGGTACCCCAAAAAGACATCAGCATCTCATTGGAGAACCTCCTTTCAGCCCCACAGCCCCCACTGGCCACACCAAACTGCTCTGGGCTCACCAGTGCCCAGTGGAGAGCAAGCCCTGGCCATTCTGTGGCTCTGCCTGGCTCACACTGTTCAGGACGATGTTGGTGGCATCACCGTGGGCCATCCACGGGCATGCTGGGATCCTTGCTCCTCTCTCCAGAGCCTTTTCTCACATCCCTCAGCCTGAGACCGACCTTGGGGTTCACATCCAGAGCATGGGACCATGGAAAGAGCTTTCCCCCTCCATCACCACTGTTGGGAGCTGCCTGATCCAGCAGCCTGAGAGAGAGGAGGCTGCCACAGCTCCAAGGCCCCAGGTCCAAGCAGTTGTGAGTCCCCAGAGGACAGGTGGGTCACACACAGACACAGCCAGTCCCACAGGTCTGGACAGGCACACAGGGCCTCCCACAAACAGCACCAACAGGATGTGCCCCTTATTGTATCCCTGCAAGCACATTTGAGCTTAAATATCAAAAGCTTTATTGAACAATGTACTGTCAGTCCCACTACCATAAACAGTTCTACAGGCAGTATGGAAAGGTTTGGCTGGAGACAATTCCTCACATCCACTTCAGCAACTTCAAAGAACTCCCTTATGATCTGGGCTTCACCCCCAGCTACAGCTACACCTCCCTCTACTGCCCAAAGGTGGCTCCTCAGCAACTGCATTGCCTACAAGATGAGGATGTCACCCTCTGACAGGAGTCAGTATCCCCAGCGCTCCAGATCCAGCCAGTTTAGCCCTTTTTACCATTGGACATTCTCACCTCAGAATCACAGAATATGCTGACTTGCAAGGGAGCCATCAGGATCATTGAGGCAAACTCCTGGCTACAGTGCAAATATGTAAATCAGTAGGTCCTTCTTTTTTTGGCCCTGAAGGAAACCATTGTCACATAATATTTTCCTTTCAGTTTAAACCTTCCCCAGTTTAATTCTGCAGCCTCAAGTCACTGGCTAGAGCAGAAGTATGCCCACACAAGAAAAAAACCAGGGAAGGATAAAAAATACAAGCTGCTTCCAAACCATGCAAATATCACAAGAAACCACCCCTGCTGCCAAAATCCAGCAACTGCTGCAGTGGTCCCGGTCAGCAAAGCAGACTCCAGCAATGATCTTCCACCTGCTCATCGGTGGGACCATCATGTTTGTAACACCTGAGCCATGTCTCCTGACAGCCCCGCAGGCCTTGGCTGTCTCTTCCACCTGGATTCTCACCTACTGTCAGTGGAGGTCTTAATCACAACCTCTCAACAATGCAGAAGCATCTTCAGACAAGCTAAGCATGAAACAAACTCTGTCTGCCTGTTCACACACAACCAGGTGAGTGTGCAGCCATGCTCCCAGTGCTGAGGCCAGAGATCAGCAAGAACCAGCCTGCAGCAGACTTCCCAGGAAAGGTGGCTTTAGAAATGTCAGGGCAGACCTCACAGCCTTCTAGACGTGACTCTGCCGAAGAGAGGCAGCAAACTTGGGCTCCCAAGGCAAGCAGCATCAACCCACAGTTCACTGCAGTACACCCAAAATTTGACACACAATGTGCAATGTTGACTATAATTTGTGCCACAGATATTTTTAGATTTTAACTATTAAGCTAAGCCACAAATGGTTTTTTACTTGTCACACAAATTTTAGAACTGTGATTAAAAAAATCCAAAAACATGGGAAATAACGCTGTTCCAGAAGACAAATGAAAAGACATTCCTAAGATTAAATTTAAAAAATATTTTATGTAAATGATATTTTTATCTTCTTTTTTTTGGTCAATTTTTCACACTTTAAACTATGCATTAATTCAAATACTGCAATAAAAGCATCATCTTGAATTATAAAACAGTAAAATGTTCTTCTTGAAAATATCAACAGGAAAATGTTTTTTCCACCTGAGTTGTTTCAGATTAGTTCAGAATATTAAGAACTCATTCTTTCTTACAAGCAGGTGTTATTGGTTTTTCAGTAAACCTGCATTTTCCAAAAAAGAAAACAAAATTATAATATCAGACTTGTTTTGGGTTCTATTTCCTTTTCTTATGATCTGCCTATTTTTGCTTTTCATTTTCAGTTTCAATTTTTCAAACGTTGCCTTAATTCTGAGAACCAAGATGCTGGAGAATAAGTGTTTAATTAGATCCCTCCCTGTCCCTCGTCTCTGAACACCAGTATTTGTCCTGGCTGTGTCACATCCAGAGGGAACCACAAGGAGGACTTTGCTCCAGACATGCAAAACTGCTCCAAACAGCCCAGGGGGTGCCTCAGCTTGCTGTGTCCACCTCTCAGCCCAGCACATGAGAAAAAGCAGGGAAGAGAAGGGTCAGTTTTATTGCACCTATAAAGGGAAGGACTAATTTTACTTGCCTTCTGTCATGGTATAATCCTGGACAACAACTGAGCCTCACACATGATCCCTGGTGGGATGGTGGAGAGAATCAAATAGTCAAAGTGAAAAAAAACCCTTGTGGTTTGAGATAAAGGTGTTTAATAAGGGAATAAAACGCTGCACATGGAAGAAAAGCAAACCAAGGCATTCATTCCCCACCTCCCACTGGCAGGTTCAGCCATCCCCAGGACAGCCTGGCTCCATCACGGTTACAGTGTCTTGGGAGGACAAATGCCATCACCCAAACATTCCCTTCTCTCTTCCCCACCTTCCCTGTGAGCACAACGCCATCCTCTGGCGCAGCAGCAGCCGTGTCCCCCTGTGCCCCGGCTGGCCAGAGCTCCTGGCAGCACTGCCGGACCCATCCCCACCCCTGCAGAGGGGGAACACGGAGCACAGGCCCATGGCTATCTGCAGTCCCACCACAGCTCTGAGGGTCTCAGGGATGAGGGTCTCGGAGGAATGGGAATCTGCCTGGAGAGGGGTCGAAGCCGTGGAACACTGACCTGCACACCATCGCACTCAGCAGCAAGGAGAAAGAAGGAAGAGGTGAGGAGGTTTCCCTGCAGAGGTGCCTCACTGAATCCCCTGAAATTTGTCCTGCATTTGCCCCAAGTCATCGTGTCCTACAGGTTCCTTCTTCACACATTCCAAGTGGTCTCATGTCTTTGTGGTCTTTTTGCCCACAGCCTGCAGTCCAAGTAACCTCAGTCCAAGTAACCTGTGTTCTTGTGATGTGGTGTGGTCCCCACAGTCCATGGGGCTGAAATTTGTCTTATGTGATCTCTGCAGTGCCAGTGGTCTCCACACGGTCCCGTGATCCATTAGACAGAGCCCCTTCAGCCAGGACAGCTGGGTGTTTCTGCAGGCCTGTCTGCGGCAGGAGAGCAGCCCCCGACGGCCCTGGGCCCACAGCAGTGTCCCCACATCGTCACAGACTACATCCCTGTGCCCATATCCCCATGTATTCCCATACCACATCCCTCTAGGTGTATCCCTACATATTTCTGTATCCCTGTAGCCATATCCCCACATGTGGGAAATAGATTTATAGAGAGTTTTCAGGGCCTGACAGAAGGCCCACACTGTATGCATCCATATGCAAACTCTGAGATAAGAAATTCTGACTTAGAAATGCCATAGAATAGGACATATTATTGAGAGAGAAATGGAGCTAGAAACAAGTCTCAAAAGACAGCCTTGCAAATAAGACTAAATACT